GTACAATTCTTAACATAAAAACACAAAGACAATGAAAAAGCCTTAGGAACATTAGTCATGTCTCTGGACAAGCTATTTGACCCTACGGGTAATTAAGGAAATTCTTCTCTTGCTGATAAATTAGAGATTGTTTTATGCTTAGGAAATGATTATGACAACAATGGAAAAAATGAAATCCCAGGAACCCAAATATGTGGGTGAACTCTATTCCAGTACAGATGAAATCAAATTTCATATAGCACATCACTTTCAGAATGCATTTTTTTCATTGAAGCATTATTAAAGATCTGTTTACCATCTTTTTAGTTTTGCCTTTTGCATGTCATATAAATAACATAGTTTTTTCAGGCTGGTTTCTTTTAATTAGCAATATGCATTTTTAAAATTTAATCTTTGTTTTATTTTTTCCGTTTACCATTTAGTCCCCTTATACCTCCCTCCCCCACAGCACTCACCACAGTGTCCGTGTCCGTGAGCCCTTTTCCCTTTTTTCTCAGTCCATCTACTCCCTAACCTCCCCCTTCCACTAGGTGTCATCTGCTCTCCACCTATGAGCCTATTGCTGTTTTGCTGGTTAGTTCAGTTTGTTCATTAGGTTCCACATATGACTGAAATCATGTGGTACTTGCCTTTCTCTGACTGGCTTATTGCACTTAGCACAATGTTCTCCAGGTCCGTCCGTACTGTTGCAAAGGGTAAACTTTTCTCCTTTTTATGACCAAGTAGTATTCCATTGTGTAAACGTCTCATAGTTGTTTAGATTCCTCAATGTCTTTGTATGGCTTGATAGCACACTGACTTGTACTGCTAAATGGTATCTCTTTGGGTAGAGGTATCACGATTTGTTCACATATGGAAGGCTATTTGGTTGCTTTCAGTGTTTGTCAATTATGAATATGGGTGCAATAAACCTTATTTTATATTGGATAAATTTCAAATCAGCTGAGTCCATATCTAGGAGTGTGGTTGTTGGGACAGTCATGAAGACCTATGGCTTTGCTTCTAGACATGGGCTGATTTCATCCAAAGTGGAGCTTATAAAAAAAGCAACCCTCTCCAGAGATGTTTCTAAAACAAATGTAGTCTCAGTGGCTTTTCCTGGCAAGGTCAAGGTTATAGATATTGTGAGATTGCAAGATTTGTTGATATGCCTGACATACTAGCAGATCAGCTGCAGATTTAATAGATCAAGCTCAATATCATCAGCCATTAAAGACATGCAAATGAAAACCACAGCATGGTGTGACTAAGGAGTCACTAGAATGACTCTAGTCAAAATGATTGTCAATATGAAGTGTTAGTGAGGATGTGATGAAGCCGTAACTCTCATATTGCTGTGGAAATAAAACCTTGGATAACTTTTTATAAAAAGTTTAACATAGGCTCTGCTCCCAGGTAACAGCCTCAGATACATAAAATATGTTTAAAAATAAGTCTTTTACACACATATTCATACACAAATTATTTAAAAGACAAAAAATAAAATGACCCAGATGTCTATCAACTGGTAAATCAATAAATAAAATTTGGTATATTCATACAAGAAAATATTATTTAGTAATAAAATGGAACACACTTCTGATGCATGCTACAATGCAGATGAAACACAAAAATCTTTGCTAAGTAAAAGAAGCCAGGCATAAAAGACTACATATTATATGATTCCATTTATAGAAAAACTCCCAAAATGAAAAATATATGAGACAAAATGTAGATTATTGGTTGCCTGGAGCTATGGGTGGAGTAGAAATGAACTTATCAGCTTCTAAAGGCACAAAAGAACTTTTTGTGGTAATACAAATATTTACAACTGCTTTATGGTTACATTTGCAAAACCATATTAATTTATTTGCAAATATTGACTTTGTAAACTTACAGCTTTAGAACTGGGTCTGCATAATAGGAAGGTTGCTTAACGCTAAATTTACTAAACTAAAAAAAAATTATAAAAATCAATTTACTTACAACCCATTTACTTACAATACATGAATTTTTTGCTGTATACATTATACTTCAATAAAGATGTTAAAACCAACCATTGTCAAGTAACAGTACAGAGATTTTTTTTAATGTTGTGGTTATGTCCTATTTATCTAGCTGTTCTAAAATCTGTAGCATTATTAATTTTTCTGCATATGCTAAAATATTCAAATTTACTTGAATTTTGCACAGTGGAAATATGAACTAAAAACAATTTGATGTTATGCAGTTTAATGTAGTGGTTAGGAATGTAGGCTTCTGAGTCCTATTTCCAGTCTGAATCCCAGCACTGTCATTTATTAGTGAGAAGCCTTTTGTAATTTATTTACTCTTCTCAAAGACTTGGTTACCTTATTTGAAAATTGGCTTAAAATACAAGTGATATTTTGATTTGGATTAAAAGATGGATTTCTACAATTATCCAACTAAATGATACCTATAAATTGCTTAGCACACTGCTAGAAATAGTCCTTTATAAAAATTAAAATAGTCAAAAATTAAATCTTGTCCATGTTAATACTTATTTTAATACATAAATTAATTTATAAATCAGAAATGAATTCTTTGTGTGAAAACTGTGTTCATAATAGATGATACATAACTTTTGATTCTTAGCTTTTCTTATCCTGTTTTAGGAATAGTGATGACATTTAACCCCATTTGGAAATTGTTTCAACTTTGCTTTTTTGTGGGTCATAATCTTTCTCTTTTTTATTGAATTTATTGAGGTGACATTGGTTTATAAAATTATATAGGTTTCAGGTGTATAATTCTATAATACGTCATCTATATATTGTATCGTGTGTTCATCACCCAAGATCAAGGCTCCTTCCATCACCTTTTGTCCCTCTATACCCTCTTCTACCTCCCCCCACCTCCCTCATGGGTCATAATCTTACTCTCATTTTATACTCAATGTGTTTGGGATCATCTCTATTATCATACTTAGGTAGCAATAAACAGTGTGAGTCCCTTTGAACATCAGAAGCTACTAAGTTTTAGGGTAGTTTTAGGAGTCTGATATGTTGGTTTCTGATTTTTCTTTTTTGCCTCCCCCTATAGTTAATATGCTTAAGTCATAATTCAGAAATATCACGCAGGGTCTTCTTGCACCATATTGCTTGTCACTGTAATATGACACTCTAGTATTATATTTCTAACTATCTGTGGTCCTTAAGAGATGTTTAGGTTGTACATACATGCAATGTACTCTATGCAGGCTATGAAGACAAAGAGCCCAGGGCACAAGGTTGCCATAATGTCTTCATGCTTTCCACTCTCCTCTACCTCATTCTCTTTTGGTCTTCCATCTCACACATCCATGTTGACACTTGACCTTTCCATCCTTGATGCCACTTTTTATCTGTCACATCATATTGTTTGGCATGAAACAATATCACTCTCAATTGCCAGTACAAGGAGATATGCTTTCTCTCATTTCCTTTAAAATAGTAATTTTTCTAACAAGATTACCCCTTTTTTAATGTTAAATGTAATACTGGGGTCTACACATTCATAGATTAGTAAATTCACAGTGCATCATCTAATTATTCTGGGCATTGTCTATTTTTAAAAAGTGACACCCTTTCGTAGGGGAGTAATACCTGCAAGTAATTGCTGAAACCCAAGTCCTCTGATCCACAGGACAGAGGAGGGGTAAAAAAAGTAAGATGGGTGTGTATTTCCTTATTAGTTTTAGGAAGAAACTTTTGAAGAATAAGAAAGATATTTAGAAATATCCTTGGAAATAAAGTGGTACTCACAGCATTGTTAGTTTGTACAGGAGTTTTTAATAGTCTTAATATACTTTGTCATTAAGCACTGAACATTTTAACATTCTCTCTCTACTTAAGTGTCTAAACGAAATACAGTATTTTCTGGAATAGTCTTCATGTATCAAGTACGTGACTAATCTAGAGGTCTAAATGTTTTTGGTAAGTCAATTTTGAAGAAGGATTATTGTTTTTCTTTACTGGAAATGCTCAGCTCGGTTAAGTACATTATATAAATAACAGTACTCCATTGATTTATTATCACATTGGTTGACCCAATTCTGATTTCATAGATATGAAATGCAGTCTTTTCACATCTTTATATTCCAAGCTGTATAATAGATTTTAGGGTACAATGACTGATCAAAAATATCAGAAAACAGAACAAAAATTTAATTGAAATGATTTAATTTTTCCTCTAATGATATAAGGAACTTTTGCAAACATGGTCCACTGAATGTGTAATAATATCACGACACAGTACATTTAATACACACACTAAAGACATACTTAGAGAGAAAGGAAAGATTTCATAGAATTTATATGCTAAGTTATCAAATAGTACACAGAAGGAACATATTAAATGATGATATTTTGTGTCTTTCATTAAAAAATTATAAATTCGTATTTATACTTCGAAAATTCAAAAAAATATATTTTCGTATAAATTATATGAATTGGAATAAAAATCATTTCAACATTGGTTAGCATTTAGAATATAAACTCATAAGTAGTGTATATTTTTCATTCAAATGATATTAAGAAAGAGTTAGGGTGTTTTATTTTAAATAAACTGTCACTTTACTTTGTCTGACTTAGCTGTCAAAAGGTTTTTTTAGCCATCTACAATTATAGTTCTTCAAGATAAAATGATCTATTATACACACACATATTCAGGAATAAAAAAAAGAAGTCAAAAATAAGAAAGATTGTCTTCTTTCATCTACATTTTATTGCTTAGTTTTAACTTAATTGTTGTTAACTTATTTTTCTCCTGACTCCTAGAAGTATTTCTTTCAATCTAGCTAGCTGCATACTCCTTAGCAAAGTTAGTGAATTACATTTAGTTTCTGTATTAATCGCATAGCTACAAGACCTTTAGTTTATTTTTTTAATTCTCAAATCCTAGTCCTTTTGAATTCCCAGGATTACTTGGAAGCCTATAAGCCAGCCACTTGCCCTTTGTTTTCTCTGACAGAATGGCAGGTTATCTTACCCATCTCTCCATTTACTTACAGAGCTCTGAAATTACATTGATTTAAAAGAACGGCATACATTTGACAGAAATCTCTCACAGGCAGCCTTCACATCCTTATTCCTCAGGCTGTAGATTATGGGATTCAGCATGGGGATCACAAGTGTATAAAACGCAGAAGTCATTTTATCTGTGTCCAATGAATGGCTAGTTCGAGGCTGCAAATACATGAATAATAGTGTCCCATAAAACACTGTGACTGCCATCATATGTGAAGCACATGTGGAAAAGGCTTTTTTCCTTCCTTCTGACGAACGTATCCTTAAAATGGACAGAATAATGTTGAAATAAGATACTAAAACTATAGTCATGGAACAAACCAAATTTGTACTTGCAGATACAAAAATGAATGTTTCTGGAAAGGAAGTATCAGAGCAGGACAATGCTAACAAAGGAACAGTGTCACAGTAAAAATGATTGATTACATTGGAAGAGCAGTAAGACATAGAGAATACAGAAGATAAAGTCACAATAGCAGTGGAAAAACTGTAAAGGTAGGTGAGGGACACGAGCAGGAGGCAGATCTGGCGAGATAAAACCACCAGGTAGAGCAGGGGGTTACAGATGGCCACGTAGCGGTCATAGGCCATCACAGCTAACATGGAAACCTCAGCTACAATGAAAACCAAAAACCCTCCCAGTTGGGTGGCACATTCATAGTAGGAGATGGTTTTCTTCGTTACTAAAAAATTAACCAGCATTTTAGGGGCAATAGCAGTAGAGTTGCCAAGATTGATGATAGCCAAGTGCCGGAGGAAAAAGTACATGGGGGTCTGAAGTCGAGAGTCGATGCTGGTGAGGGTGATGATGCCCAGGTTGCCTGCCACGGTCAGCCCATAGATGACCAGGAAAACAAGGAAGAGTGGAATTTGGAGCTCCGGACGGTCTGAGACACCTGTGAGAATAAACTCAGTGACCCAGGTGAAATTTTCAGGAGCCATGAAAAAGTCTGGGAATTCATCTGTTTGGAGAAGAAAACACATGGTTAGAAAGTTGAAGGAACTATTTCCTGGGACTGCCTTTAGATGGCAGGGGGGGATTCCTTGGGCAACATTTCCTGGAATCATGTATTATTCTAACTCGGTTATTATACTCAAGGTTCTAGGTCAAATATATAAACTTCCCCATCACTTGACCGAGAGAAAAAGTAAGTATGACAATTTAAACAGATGATCCAGCATCATGAATTTTGAGAATTTACTTCCTTACAATCTTATTAAATTATGTGTATGTTATAAGCTTGCAAACAAACATTTTATCTTGTCTCTTGCATTGAGTGTGACAAAGACTTGAGGAATTGGATGTCCCAAAATAATTGAACATCTTCATATGATTTCTCGATCAGACACTCCTTGCTTTCTTTTCAGAATAGACATGACTCACTGTTTTGCACCATTTTCTTTATCTTCTGTAACTTCATTCATTAGCACATTGAACTTGCATATTCTACCATCCATACCTGTTTACTGTTTTTTCTCATTTTCCATGTTATTAACTCAGACAGAAATACATAGAGGTGTGTCTAAAGATCTATTTTACAGGTTACTGATTATCTTTCAATTAAAAAAATTATCTCTGTGTAAGTTTCATCACTGCTGTGCTTTACCGGATACAACTTCTTTTATCTTCTCTCTCCTAACTCTTTTCCTTCTTGCCCCACAAGTTTATACAAATCCTCACATTCCTTCCACTGTTTTCATTTTAACTAGCATTTTCATCTATATAATTTCATTACATTTTAGAATTTTATAAAATATATTCAGCCTTAGTTTTAGTTAATCTTTTTCTTAATATTTTTAACATTTTTGATATTTTTCATTATTGTAATAGTAAAAAAAATTATTTTAAAGAGCTCCTGTGATAATTATGTTACATTTATTTGCCAAAAAATCTACATGCTATAAATATAATATGACTGAATATTTTTCTAGAGAATTTTGTACTAAAGATATTAACCTGCTCTTAATTAAGCCAACTAGTGTTTCTTCCCCATCACAATTGTTAGTACCAATGGCAGGCAATTAGTCCAAAGAAGCCCTATAAAAGTTTTTTATTTGAAGAATTGAAGTTAAGTTCCAGAGAGCCGAGACTATATCATTATTTAACATAAACTCTACTGTTTAGCTAAATGTGATATATAATTACAAAATGATAATAATAGTAATAATGTTAAAGAAGATAGGAGATAAGTTTTGGATGTGTTGGCTGTTTATTGCAGTGATGGTTTCTCTAATGCATACTTATATTTAAATTCATGAAATCATATATTGTACATGTACAATATATACAACATGTATAGCATTTTAGATCCAATCATTCTTAGTTTTTAAAAAAGACTATGTATCAAAAATGGATGAACTGTTAAAGCTCAGAGTTGTTGGCATTGTCTCTGTATATAAAAAATAAAATAAAATATAAAAATATAAAAATATTCTGTAGTGATGTGTAAAAAGAATTGGAGAAATAAAATAATATATAATATATTTTTACTTATTTGTTTTGGGGTTTTTTGGTATCTGTTTCCTTCTAACAGCAAACATAGTTTCCCCCATTGGCTTCTTTGAATCATCCTTTTATTTATTTATTTTGATTTATTTACTAAGTATTTGTTGATTTCCTATGTGTACCAGGCAATGTTCAAGCTTCAGATAAATTACTTATTTCTTACACCATGGACTTGCTATTTTAATAATAAGAAAGAGACAAAAGTTTGATAAAGAAACATATACACAAGATCATTGCAGATTGTAGTAAGTGTCATAAGTAATTAAACAAGAAGATACATCAGAGCAACCTGGGAGAATTATTTCATAGGGGATGTTATGGGAAAGACATTCTGAGACATGTAAATGAAACCTAAAGCATGAGAAAAAAACCCCACTATTTAATAAATTACAGGAAGAATATTCCAGGATTCCAGGCAGGAATCCTGCTCTGGGATGGAAAAGAACTTAGTTTTTCATTTTTGAGCGGAAACCTTATGGAAGCCAATGTGACTTGATGATAATGAACAGGTAGATAATTAGTCATATCAAATAACGTAGGTTACAAGATCTATTCGGATTGTATTCTAAGTGACTTGTAAGCCATTGAGAAGTTTTAAGGTAGATGAATAACAACTTTTTCTGTAACAATGATAATAAATTGTAGAATTGAAAAGGGGTAGATATTATTAGTGGAAATTTTTAAAAAATGAGTTAATTGTGAGAGGACTATTGGTGAAAGTTAATGCTGATTGGGACAAAGTGGAGAAATTCGGACAAATTTAAGTACATGTAAATTTAACAGCTGGGAGCAGAAACAAGATGCTATTTCCAATATAATTACATTATGAATTGCATAAGGTAGATATTAGGGAAACGACAGGTTGGGGGGGCGGGTAGACCAAGAAAGAATTTTGAGATTTTTTTGTTTTTGCACTTTAGAGTATATGGTTTAAGATGAAGTGATCAAAGAGATAATTTGAGCATAGTAAATTTTAAGTGTTGGTGAGCCATTTAAACAATCATTTAGGCAAGCTAATATTTAAGTCTAGAGCACATTGTGTGGTTAGGCTTGTAGATACTTAAGAAACATCAACCTAAATAATGATCCCATATTTTTCCACTTATGTCAAGATTCCTTTTTCAAAATTTGTAACACAAATTCCTAGTATGTTCCTTGATCAATCTTTGTGGGGATAACAGTGTTTTGAGAGAGTCTAGCTTTTCTTTCATCCTCAAATGCTACACTGTAGGATGTTGCTTCTGTGTCCCCCACCTCACGCTTCTTTTTTTATTTTCAATTACACTTTACTTTTAATATTATTTTGTATCTGTCCAGTACTTAACTTATCTCACATTCTCTGTGTTTATAGTTGTTAATATTGTCTCTGCAGGTTTCATTCTTTCCATTGTCTAGCTTAGCAAACATATCACCTATCAACCAACACGACACTTCCAAATTATAACAACTTCTATATTTTTTCTAAAATCTAGTGCTTTCTTGATTACATATTTCATCATTTTAAAAAAGGTTTTATTTGCTTATTTTTAGAGAGAAGGAAAGAGAAGGAGAAAGAGAAAGAGAGAAACATTGATGTAAGAGAGAAACATCGACAAGTTGCCTCTCTTACACACCCCAACCAGGGACCAAACCAGCAACCCAGGCCTGTGCCCTGACTGGGAATTGAACTGGTGACCTTTCACTTTGTGGGATGATGCCCAACCAGTTGAGCCACACAGGTCAGGACTATACATCGTTTTAAATGCAATAATGATTTTTTGAATTTTAATTTTGTAAATATTTACTGTTTTTTCCATTACCATTTAGTCCCCTTGTTCCCCTCTCCCTCCAGCAATTGCCACACTGTTGTCCATGTCCATGAGTCTTTTTTCCTTTTTGCTCAATTCCTCCAATAATAAATTTTAATTAGAAACCATCTTACATAACAAACATTGTATTCATCCCCAAATTTCCTGTTTCAAGCCCCATATTGTATTGTTTGCAAGTTCCTAAAAATACCTTCTCATCCTAAGCGTTCCCCTCTTCTACTGCCTAGGTCAGGCTTTCATTCACACTGTCATTGACTACTGTATCCTTCCTGGTCTTCATGGCATGATTCCCTAAGATCAGCAGGTAGGCAAATGGCAGTCACTAAAGCTTTTTGAATAATGAAGATAATCTGAGCTTTTTAAAGAATAATTAAGATAATGCTTTAACCTCATTTCAGTGTATTTCACAATCATGTCCGTATCAAATTTATGCACACTAGTCTGCCAGGAATGCACGGAAGATGAATTTTGGCCCTTCATTCCTGACTCATAGTGACTCTTCTGCGATTACTCCATGTCTTTGTGAGTGAGAGGCGGCGCGTTATCTGAAAGAAGTCTGCTACCAACTGTGGCAGTGGTTCCATGCAATCAAGAATTAGAAATGTATCAAACGAGGCTTACAGAATTAAAATATGTGGTATTTAAGAATGTCATTCTCATTGTACTCTAGGTATTTTCAATCTTCTAATGAATACTGAGTAACTGGGAGGGTAAAAAATCGGGGAGTTGTCTTTATTACCACCAATGTTTTATGGTTAATGAGTAATGATAATAGTCTTTTTAAAATGTGTGTAAAATAGTTCCTAAGTACTTTGAATGTTTTTTATTATAAAATTATAAGGCTAAATATAAAGAAAGGAAATTTATTCCTGAACATCCTCTTTTAGGTGACTGAATTTAAGGGTAACCTTGTAAACGAACATTTTCTTCTTGGATTTTATTTTCTCATTGAGAAATGTGTAAAGATTCTCTCCAGGAACCTAGAGGTCTACAGTTCTTAATGACTTACTACTGCTCTTGCAGCATCTCTACTCAAATAGAAGTCCTTCTTTATGAGGTCTGCTCAACTAAAATGATTGCAGATTTATTTTATTCTCAGATGGTTTATCTCAATAGGTGCCATTATTGCATTGATTACATATTATGCTTCTATTTATATATCAGTATGTTATTAAATTTCATGGAAAATTTTCTTGAGAAAATTTGTGATGGATAGTTATATTCTCAAAAAGGAGTATCATTTGCAGTTTAGGTGGTGTGTATCCAGTTTTCTTTCACAGGTTATCCTGTGAAACATGCAGTTTACATTTTAGCTAATACTGCAGAGATAAAACTATGAAATAAATAATCTTAGTGAGCAAATATCCATTTCCTCAGTAGAGATATAATTTACTTAAGTACACAAGATGTTATCATGTCAGTTCTTATTTGGAAGTATAATCAACATGTTGTATTCCCAAAGCAAGTTATAATTTTGGAAACAAACCTGACTTTAAATACTGTATATTTTTTATTATAAGTGATGTCCAGTTCTTTCCAAAATGAAAAATGGGTGGCTCAGCTTGAGGAATGGTTCGGATCTTTTAAAGGTCATTATACATAAATAAGGTAAATATTTTCTACCCACC